AGAGAGAGTATATATATATATATATATATATATATATATATATATATATACATACTTCTGTTGGTAATCGCATTGCAAAGATTGTATTTATGATGGCAATCCTGCTTTTATTATTCATTGTTTACAACGCCTCCTTTATTTTGTGTGTCTGCGTATGGGGAAGAGGGTGTGACAGGGATTTTGATGCGAAATAGTAAAACCTATGCTATTGTTGAGAAATGACGGTGCCCCTTACGGCACAGAAGCTTCCTGCCACCAAGGAAACAAAGAATTACACAGATCACCGTTTCTTTGTGGCACAGATAACTGTTTCTTTGTGGCACAGATCACTGTTTCTTTGTGACAAAGATCACTGTTTCTTTGTGGCACAGATCACTGTTTCTTTGTGGCACAGATCACCGTTTCTTTGTGGCACAGATCACTGTTTCTTTGTGGCACACATCACTGTTTCATTGTTAGCGGCATGGCCTACACAGAGGGGTATCGAGAGTGTTTGGCGCCCGGGGAACCTTCCCCCCTGCCCCCCTTCGTTACGCCTCTGTGCCTACATGTCTGATGGACTAGATTAATGTTGCAAATGGATCCTTTGCTTGTGATGTAAGTCTGACCAAATGTTTTTTTACGTCACGATCGTGGTCTTATCACCAAGTCCTGATACATGCAGGCATAAAAATTCCTTAAATGTATGTGCAGATATATATCACGTTGGCTGACGCCAGAATTGGAGCTAAGAGAAGTGCAATCATGCTGCTGCTACGGTGACGGACATGATTGGGCCTGGTATTGAAGATCGGATATGACGTCATGAGTATTCAGGATTTAGTAATCGCCATGTCTTATATATTTAAAAACTTTACATATAACCATGAAAGTACACAACCTTTTTTTTCTTCTTTATTTGCTTGTTCTTTTTTTTTTAATTGATCCTTTTAAATTAGAGCTGTATCAAGTCTGACTAATGTGACAATTGTACAAATTTATTAAGTCTGACTCGTGTGACAATTGTACAAATGTATTAAGTCTGACTAGTGTGAGAATTGTACAAAGTATGATCTGTTTGTTTTTCATTATTATATAAGCACAACTGGATGCCAGCGTTAACGCTATAGCTAGTTGACATGTATTTCAATAACCTATGTAAATTAGCATATACTTTTATGATCCTAACCAGTGTATCCATGATATGTTAAACACCCCCCTATAAAATATGACTTATGATTTACGCAAGATTGGCGCGTTTGTTGACCACAGTCAAACATTGGTATTAGTGGTACAAAGGTTAGTCAAACAATCCCTATGACTTGATGCATAGGGCGTCTACACAAAAAAAGGGAAGGGGGGGGGAAGCAGTTGCGTCAAATCTGAGTTGGGGAAGGGTAAATAAAATCCATCATCCCCTGTCTGCTTTTGAATTTCTTCAGGTAATAAAATTATATGGGAAAGGAAAAAATACTAATACTCAATATTTTTTTTATAAAATATTTTTTTGAGTGGGGTGGATTTGGTTTTAAAAAAAAAATATTTGATTGCCTGGCTTATGATTGGATTTAACTCTTATCCTCTAATATGGAATGAATCATGTTTTGACCACACATCCATCCAGCCGCTCGTCCAAACTGTGAATTTTAAGAATTAAAACTGAATTAAAAATTATAGGCACACTAAAAACCATTTCTTGAACAATCACTCAATTCGATTTGATAAAAAATGTGAAGAATTATTGAGCTATTATTGAAATTTTAATCGATTTTTATCGTTATTGTTATCATAGAATAGTCAACTATTAGTTAACAACTTTTTACCCGTCATTTTTTTTACTAACTAATATTCATAGTAAACTCCCGAATTAAACACCAATACAATGACTGGCATGGTCCACACACGAATTTACCAAGTCCAAGGCATAAAGTGTATGTGTAGGGGTTGACTTCCACTGCTCAAAAGAAAGTGGGGGGGGGGGATAGACGCCAATGACTGGATGATAATGCTATGGGAAGGATGTAGATGTGATTTTAGAAGGGAGTAGAGGTGAGAGAACCAGAAACCCCAAGGGAGAGAACCAGAAACCCCAAGTCAAACTTTTTTATTTTTTTTGGGGGTGGGGGGGGGGGGGGGGGTCAAATATCTCATTCGAAATCGTGGAGATGAGATGGCGAATTCACCGAGGGGCGTTCTGCTGCACTGGCCGGCTACATTGGCCTCTTGAATCGGAGGACCATTTGCCTCTTGAATCGGAGGACCATGTGCCACTTGAAATGGAGGACCATTTGCCTCATGACTTGGAGGACCATTTGCCTCTTGAATTGGAGGACCATTTGCCTCTTGAATTGGAGGACCATGTGCCACTTCAAATGGAGGACCATTTGCCCCTTGACTTGGAGGACCATTTGCCTCTTGAATTGGAGGACCATTTGCCCCTTGAAATGGAGGACCATTTGCCCCTTGACTTGGAGGACCATTTGCCTCTTGAATTGGAGGACCATTTGCCTCTTGAAATGGAGGACCATTTGCCTCTTGAATTGGAGGACCGTTTCCCTTTTTTTATTTGGTGCATATGAAGCAATTAAAGAAATGCAACGAGTTCTTTCAAGTGGAATGGCGCATTCACCGAATATTTGTGTCCCCTTGTAAGTGAGATCAAAGCATTTCATCATCTAAATATCTAAAGCCCTGGTGAGCAACCGATGGACAAATATGGCGGATGGACAACTTAAGTTGTTGTTTTTTTCTTCAAAATTATTCATTCTAAGATTAGGATATTCTTTTTTTTTTTTTAATTCTTAAAAAATATTATTTTTTAAAAAAAAGTAAATTATAATCCATAAAAGAGCCCCCTTTGATTTTAACAATTTCAGGGCCGGCCTTAGGCCAATGCAACCTATGCGGCCGCAGTGGGCTCCGCACTTTCATAGGCCCCGCGCTAATTCTAGGTGTAAATTAATAAATTAAACCATTATAACTTATTATCATGTCTAGGTCAGCGTGTTTATTCTGCTTTTATGTTTTAAAGTGTTTTTAATCTACTACGTCGTTGTTTCAAGTGATTACGACAAGTAAATAAAATTGAAAACAATGGTAGCTGCTCGGGTGCTTTATCTCTAAACTCGTCATTTAGGGGAACTTAGGGTAAGATGAAACAGACACCGTTCTTAACCCTTTACAGTCCAAGCCTATTCAGCCTTGTCTACTCCCAGCGCCCAAGCCAAGGGACAAAACTCCATTTTAAATGAAGGTTTTTTATCTAATTAATTTACAGAAAATAAACTATAAGCAAGAAAATAAAATAATAAAATACCTACATGCAGAGAAATGATTAAAGCAAAAGTTGCACCAAAAAACAGTTTCAGGGACCCTCCCATTTTCACTTATTATCCTTATCCCTACCCATACTGGGCCCCGGGCAATCCGTTTGGCATAGGGCCCCACAATTGTTAGGGCCGGCCTTGAACAATTTCGTAGGTACATAGTATCGTCTGGACGATCTGTTTCAGTCCAAATTTAGAAAATTCAAACAAATAGAATTTAACTTATTTATACTTGAATATGATATAAGTTTGCTTCTCATTTTTTCAAATATATAAATATTTATCAGTAACAATATTATTGAAAACTATTTTGGGTGACATAGTCTCAAAAAATCACAAAAATCTGGAGCATCAAAAGTTTTTTTTTTTCCTTCAATATTTGGATTAACAAGATATAGCGAAGCATTATTTTATACCATGGTTATGATAATGTCAAAATAAAGATCCTGAAATGTTGATGGGAATTTAGATGCAGAAAGGAAATATGCCTTAAGTTCTTAACTTCAACCAATAATTTATTCATTTTTATTAATTTTTTTAGCAAAATAATTGTAAAATATCTAATTAAGTTTTGGTTGAAATTGGAAAAAGTAATATTATGTCTTTGTTTTGTTTTTTTGTAATAGCCTAAGTTATTGATTTTAATTTTGGGTTGCGAGGTTGAAGGGGGTAGCTTTGAGAGAAAGTCTAGTAGGCACAGCTGCTCTAAACATATTTTAATGTTGCACACAAAAAATATGGGCATAACTATTACATTTCATTTTCTATTAAAATAACTATTTATAGCCCACCAAACAATGGCGACTGCAATACGTGAACTATTAAAGTTACTTGACAAAGCATGCTCTTTATTAAGTAACGCTCATTATAAAATCCCAAATTGTACTACCCCACACCACCACCCCCGTACGCCAACGCATGCTTGTTTTTACGTCCCTCAACTTATTAAAGTGCTAATACCGCAACCAATGTTCCCTCTAAGGTTTGCTGGTTCGTGTGCAAAATCATACAGTTGTGTGCAAAGTTTTACAGCATCATATTTTTCGTGTGCAAATTTTTACAGCCCACAAACACAAAGACACACTTAAATGGAAATTTGTTGCGCGGATACTCAAAACTGGTGCGCGGCGTCTGTGAGTGAGCTGCCCGGCCGCGCAGTCGCGCGGCTTCAAGGGGACAGTGATCCCAACCCCTTTTAAAATTGCAAATTTACTTATATTGGAAGTATTTCCGAAAAACAGAGTAAAATATCACGCACCAAACGAATTTGGCGCAGTTATCCAGATTTTTTTGTGGTGAATGCTTTAGTGACATTTATTGTTAAATCATTATATGGAGAATAATGTATTTTGATCATAAAAATAATTCTTTTGCTCAAACACATAATATACCAATCTATAATGTTATGTAACTAGCGACCAGACGCAAGGAAAAATAATTAAATATGATTTTAGTATTATTTTATAAAACGAAAATAATACTTTTAAAATTGTGTTTTTGTGGGGGTATTTTTCTGTTGACAATAGTTAAACGTTTAATGTGTGCTGCTTTCTATGTAAACATATCATAAACTATTCATCACAAACCCTTAGATAATGTCTACTTCTGAATTATATGTAATATGTTATGAAATTTTTAAAAAAAATATTAAAAACTCATATTTTCAAAATCCCAT